TGTGTGTGTGTGTGGGAGAGAGAGTGCACAGTGTGGGTCTGTGTTGTTTGCAGTGTCTGTATGTGCATATATGTATGTATGTATGTATGTATGTATGTATATGTGGGCATGCATGTATGTAAGGATGTATGTATGTATGTATGTATAATGGATCTAGGTATATGTATATATGTATAAGTATGTGTATATGTATATATGTATGTAAGGTATACACATGCACATGAACGAATTGGTGCCTGTTGTTTGTGTCTCATGACTGGAGATTCCGGGTATCTTACTGTATCTGCTGCGCTCATCAGGAGGAACCTCGAGCAGTAAATCCTGCTGCGAAGTTCAGTCGAATTTACATGGTTTTATGTTAGTCGCTAGCTATATAGCTCGAAGACGTGTGCTGCTAGAACCATGTAGAACACGCATATATTTGTATATATGTGTCTGTACATGTTTGTACGTGCATGTACATGTAAGAGCTCGGCTCCATAATTGATTGCATTTTTTCTCGATGCCGGGCCGCTGGTGCCTTTTGCAGCATAGCTGCAAGCGGAAGGCCTCTGGTGCGCCCACCCTCAGCTGCAGCAGTGCTTGTGCATGTCTGTTGCTTGAGCTGTGCTCATGAATGATCATTTGCAGTCCGGATCTGCAAGTTTTCCTGGGCCGAGGGACGATGCTGTGCATATCATATGCCATGCATGTATGTGTCGTGATAGTCATTGCGCTCCGCATGCACTGCAGGGCAATTCATTTAGTGAGCAGCTGCCGGCATGGCGGAGCAAGAGTTCAAGGTCCTTCCCGGTGTTCGGCGGTGTGCAAGCACCGGTCAGCTGATCAACGGCAAGCAAGTAATTCGTCCCCTCCGTTTCTTCGTGAGTGAAACTAGGCTGCAAACTATCATCAACTACGATGCACATCCTGATGCAGATCTAGAGTGCTCCCGCGAATGCCAGGATGCGGCTATGAAAATCGTGACTGCCCTCCGCTCCATAGTGGAGTCTCGCTTGCAGGAGCTGAGGAAAGACAAGGCGACTCAAGTTGCCTGCTCCGAGTGGTGTGTTTGTTTATATGTCTGCTTATATAAACTAGTACGATACATCGCAGACTAGGAAACCCGACTGGTCGACATCTTCGACACGAAGATTTCCCAAGATGACGTGGTTCTGTCAAAGAAAAACATGGAAGTCATGAAATCCTATGCAGCCAAGCTCTTCCAGGGTGTGGAGGAGCGGAAGCAGCTCATCTCGGCGAAAGAGCACAGGGCGGCGGTGCTCTACTTGTCTTGCTGCTACGGCCTCCAGAAGGTCGAGAAGGGTGCCAAGCAGAAGGCCAAGGATTGGGCTGAGCTCCAGGGGACAAGATTGAGGTGGCTGGCTGCATACGTTGTGCAGTCAGTCGGCCGGACATGTTTCTCGAGGACCGCCGGACCGCACAGTCTCATGGACCACTATTAATCATATGGTCGATGCATTCGAATTCGAACATTAGGAGCGATGAGATGGCAGTCCTGAAGGGCATCTACATCTACCTGGCGGTGAATGGCCGCTCCCTTCCGCAGAAGCCACTTCGAAAATCATCAGAATCGAGTCTGAGCTCACATGCATCATCAGAGGTGCTTGCATAAAAAAACTCCACTGTATTTAGTGCTATTGTGATCTCTGTCTGGCTTTTCATGCATATCCCTTTCGCGAGCTTAAACCCGGCA